AGAGTGAATGCAACTGGTCAGTAGATTTACAGACTGAAGAAGTAGTCATGTCGGACCATGCGTAAGAGTGCTGAATTCCATTTCGTGACACATCTATTATAGCATTACAAGATTCCTGATCCAATTGAATGTCTCATGGTGGTATTTTGAATGCCTATTATCGTAGTATCGAATTTCCGCAGTGGATATTCAAAAGTGATATGTCGAATAATTGGTCTGCTTACCCTCAGTCGAATTGATCGCGCAATTGATCACAGCGCATCAGACTATATTCTGTACCTTCTTTCACCTCACCACGACATCAAGTACTTTGACGGCTTACCACATTTCATGACAGGGGCACATGGGTTGAAAAATGCGGAGCTTTTGTTTGATTTACAAATTTAAATCTTTTAATGTTTGCTTAAATTTACAAGATGATGCATCACCTATAGTGAAGAAATTGAATGGATTAAAAAAATCAAAATGAATAAATCAAAATTTAATGATGTTGAACTACCTGGAACGTAAGTTAAAGTATGCAACATAGAAAGTATTTTTGTTTGCCTTGAGGATGACCAATATTGTTTGACCGGAATGCTATCTCTATCCTGAAGACCTTAACATCGGTTTCCTTGTTTTGTCGTTGACCGCTGAATCTGCACTATTACTCTTAGAGTTTTTTTATTAATAGAACTGTTAAAAAAAAGTTAGCATGCTCTACGATCAGTGGGACTAATCGATCGGTAGCATGCGCTTTAGCAATACTGCAGTGACGGCATTACTCATTTCAGGTAACTACGGGACCTCTGAATCAGAAGAAATTGAACTGGAACAAAAAAACAGATGTAAACGGTCATTGGTGATTTTTATTCTTCAGAACAGTTTGTCTTATTTCTAGACTGCCCGATAGAAACTTCAGAGAGCACTGATGGCTTCACTGTGAAAGAATGTATCGTTGGCGAGGACGGTTCTTGTGCCTCGAATGAAATCTGCATTCTGAACGGACAGTATAATAAGAGTGTATGTTGTGCAACAGGCAAGTCTTCGGTCATGTCTGGTATGTTGCCGTGGCTGAGGTAATTACTGTAGCTGAGGATAACTTTGAAGTTTAAGAATGCGGCTCTGGGAGGCTGTTCATCAATCCGATGACCAATAAAGCCATGCAGTGCAATACAAACAGCGACTGTCCCAAAGGGGCGGAGTGTACACTGACCAATGGCAAACGTTTGTGCTCTTGCGCCGTAGCCGTTGAGCATGTTGAACCACCTCCTACGGGTTGTCCGTGGGGCACGCGACCGCTGAAGGACCATATGCGACAGGTGATCAGGTGCAGTCCGGGTAATCCACGCATGTGCCCAGGAAACACAACTTGTCATTTCGATTCAGAGTACAAAATGTACAAATGCTGTGGCAAAGATCCAGGTACTGCATACTTACTTAACAGACTTGTTTCACTTATGTATTTATGCGTAAGGGAATTTTGTTGTCAGGAGAAGGCTGTCCAAGCGGAAGCAAATTGGAAAAGCGAAACGGTGCTGCAGTCAAATGTTCGCCCGGGGAATTGCCGGACTCTTGCTCGCCAACAGCTCTGTGTCAGTGGAATTACCTTGCTGAAAGCTACCTCTGTTGCTTGCCGCACAACGGTACCTGCCTGATTCTGTGTGACGTTCAGGACTGACTAACGAAAACCTGTTAGGCTGTCCCGAAAGAATGGTCCCTTTCTCAGACGAAAGCAGTCAAATCAAAGCTTGCACGCCTCATGTGAACGGTACATGTCCACAGGGTTCTTCTTGTCATTTCAATTTTTGGATTGCTACCTATCAGTGTTGCAGACAAACGACCAGAACGTATGGTTCGTACTTATTCTGTTTTGATATTATCTGGTGATTGACGTTTCTGGCTCTTTTTAGAAGGCGATTGAATGCGGCCATAACTCAGCCTCAATTTCTCAAATTATCACGAATATTAGGGAGCGGTGGCGCAGTTGGCTAGCAAGGGACCCTAACTCGTTAGATGAAGGTTCAAGGGCAACGGCAGGCGCGAATTCTCTCATTAACTGTTAAGTCCGTTGAGCAAAGAACTCACCCCATTGTGTTTCAATGCGAGACATACCATCCATCAGTTTGATGCGTGCGCTTCACAACCGCACTTCGCCTTGATACATAGCACAAGGCGTAAACGTGAATATAAATTGAAAATATACGTTCTTACGTCACAGTATGCCACTGAGCTCAACATTTCTTCAAACCCAGCCTTCTTGATTAACTGCATAGCATTCTTGCTCTTAAATGCTTGAGGAAGTACTAAAATAGGCATAGCCTACATGATGTTGGAGCAGAGTAAGTGATAGATTCAGAATGCAACGTCATATTGGCTATAATAATACTTTCTACGTCATAAACAAGACGGTGCCGAGTTCTTTTGCAAAATATCAGAAATATGGAGTTAGACTTTGGGATGCAGACAGATTCCGACTTAGCTAAGAGTTACGTTCCACAAGGCCTCGCGTAACATGAATTTTAGTTAAGTCGAATAATTTAACCCACCCAACCCATCAATCACATCCCATTACTTTCATGTTTACAACAGAGGTATGCTACAGAGAGTTAGCATGCCTTAAAGGGTATTTCTGTTAGTTATGTTCACAAGATACGCACGCAAGTTAGATTTTGGGTAATAAAACACGGTATGAACGGTATAAGAAAACAAAAATGCTTACTTTAGCCGTTAAACCTTGCTTATGAAAATATTAAGGGATGACAAAGTAGTGAAAACTTTTTTCTTCACTTCATCAATCACTTGACATCAGGCTAAAGCGTAATTTATTTCTCTATCGACTTTTAAGATCCGTGTTGTATTAGAATCCATCTTCTCCAGTTGGGCCGTTGCTGCAGAAATTTAACGGAACCCGATTATAATTTCTTTGTACACGATACGTTTTGGCTCCTCTCTGGCACCGAAGCCTCAGCTTCTTCGGATCGCCTCTAGCAGCTTCTCCAGACACTGTAACATTATGAAAACCACTGCGGTGCATAAATCTAGCAAGTTAACTATTTCGTGCCTTAAAGGAATGAGAACCGTCAGGATATTTTAGTTTTATATTTTCAAAAGGACTTTTTGCCCTTGACTCAATCGTCACTCTCCTCAGCTGAAACTCGATTTCAGGCTTTGTCTTCCATCTACATTGTCAGCAATTGTTCAGTGTCACAAGTAGCATCAGAACGTAATAACCGAAGTTAACCTTAAAGAAACATTCGTTTCACCTGTTTTTTACGGTCAGCATCCTTTACAGTTATATTCACCGATGATTATGCGATACCAGGATTAAGTCGTCTAGCCATTGAACTCTGTTCACATCATAAATCGTTATAATTGTCATGTTCATCTCCAGATCAGTGTTCATGCGTTCGTGCAAGGGTTCACTTTTTCCATTTCTGTTGCGTCTTCTGATGATTCTGTTCCATTACAATCTAAGCAAAAATTAATAATTAAAATTATCCAAGTGAATGAATACAAATGCTCAGCAAGTCCGTGGTAAATAGCAAACGAACTGAGGTTGAGGAGGGCGCACGTGTACATCACGTGAGCTGTTAGGTTTCGTGCGAGCAACGTAGGCGTAATATGTAACATATTAATAACAGGAAATTTTTTCATAAGCCTTTCAGGAAGATTTGTGCAAATCGAAGCCTGCCTTCATAATATGTGGCATCGCTATTTCTGTGACTTTTACATCTTCATGTTTCACGGTGTTTTGTATTACCAGTTAACCATAGACGCCCAAACAGTCAAGGCAACGATTTCATTGCACTTGACCAGATGGAGGAACAAATGTATCTGGCATCATTTCATATTCAAGAACAGTGCATTTTTCACCACCAATATATAGGTGACGAATTCAAGAAACATCATTGCTAGTTGTTCACTCTGCCTGTTGTCTAATTTCCTTAATGAATTGGTTCCTAACGAACTGATTTTCTATTTTCCCTAATGAACACCCACATGTGGCGAAAAAAACAGTACAGATATACAGCGTTTTTACCTTTGGCATCAGCTCCATTTATATTGAAAATTTGTACGCTGCATAGATTGTTATTGTTTAGCTTCAATAGTTGTTCAAGACACAAGAACCCCTTCTGGTACCATGATCAAGTCTGATTTCCTTCTTGAATACAATTGAGGAGCAGATGCAATGTTTACGAAAGAATTCTTTTCTGATAAACATCATTTGCGGCTTCGAATCCATTATTTACTAGTTCAGCAAATTCACTGTGCCATTAATTTATTAAAATGATGAAAAAAATGCCACGAGGAGCCTAACTTCTGCAAAATTAAAATTTCACATCTTCCGTATCGCATCCACGCTCAGGACGGCTAAGAAAGTCAATTAACAGACCGCGTTTTTATGCTATTTGAATATCTGCAGTGCAAAATGCACAGAGACGTTGACGGATCCTTCTTCGTAATTAACTGGGATAACCATTGCCTAGTTTCGACGCCTACGGTATATTGACTCGTGAAATTTGTCGTAACAAACTTCTACATCTGTCTTTTAGCCCATCATTCCATCTGAGACAAAGTTTTCCGATTTGACGCTGGAACCCCCTTGGGAACCGATCCATTTTGTTCGATCGTGACAAATGATTCTGGCAATTGTTCACGCTTGCCAGGTGTCCTGTATCAGACGTCTGTTTGCCGTTTACCCCAGCCCAGTGGAGCGCCAGATGATGGTTCCGTGAGTCTTGACTCGCTCAGAGTTTTCATCAGTGAGCTTTGCCACAGCCACCTGTTCTTCCATGGTAGATACATAGAAATATATGTCATTATTAGTCGCTAGAGAAATCTCTTGTTCAAAAAATATTCATGGAGGAGTGAACTCATGTCAGACCTTCAATTTATTTTTAGTGTTATAATCTCCTGACAACATCAGCTCAAAGAAATATCTTAACCGTTGAAAAACTATGGGCTTTAATAAAATCCGATTTGCTAATCCTTTTCAGTCATCTATCTTTAATAATGATCAGTCTAATAAACGGTTTCTCTTTCATTGTAGACATGTGTCCGTCTGGCTATCGACCACTTATGAATCGAATTAACAAACATTTTGTCAGATGCAGCAAGTCCATGGTGCCTTCTTGTCCTGAAGGTAACGAATGTGTCAGTACTGTCGGAAACGAAGGCGTTTGTTGCCATCGCGTCGATGAATGTCCTCCGGGTCACCTACCTGTGAGCAGTTCTACCAGCCAGAGGCTAAATTGTGGTCAAGACCCTGTTAATCGTTGTCCGCATCCGGCTGAATGCATGCTCTCAAATGCCGAGACTTCTGAAACGAGCTATTTGTGCTGCATGCCGCCTACGGGGCTTGCGCTGTGTCCCGCGAAATACCATCCAGAGGATGGCAGTGTAAAATTATGTACTTCTAAACAAAACGCATGTCGTCATAATTCGGTATGTTTCACTGCGACTGCCACGCTCAGTCTGTGTTGTAGCCCGTCGGCCAACTTCGATCACACCTGCCCTGACGGGTACGGATTGACCGATGACTCGATGCGTTTCTGCGATGGTCACGCCATTGGTTGCCCAGCAAATTCGTTTTGTTTTTCTTCGTTTTCGGAAATTGGAGTTTGTTGCTCTTGGTCAACATTTGCACTGGATTTGCACTGTCCCGTTCATTATACGCAAACCAGCCACGTCAACTGTCAGGGTGATCACATGAAATGCAACTTCGGCGCGTCCTGCTTCCCAACAGCTGCTGAAGGTCGGTATCTTTGCTGCAGCCCAACCACAATCGGCCTGAAGTGCCGAGAGCCTTTTCGCGCTGTAGGCGAAATACCGATCATGTGTATTCCAAAGCTTTCCACGTGCCCTCCTGACTCATCATGCATCGAAGCTTTAAACCAGCCAAACGTACACCTGTGTTGCGCCTATGAACATGACGAAGGTGCAGCAGCAATTATTTCCTGTCCTTCTGGATGGACCACGGAGGGCGGTAATGTGAAGCGATGTAAAGCACTGGCAAAATCCACATGCCTTATATCAAGCAAGTGCTTGCCGTCAGCAAACGATCCTGCCGTTGCGCTATGCTGCTCTAAAGTGGCTAAAGTTCCGGCAAGATGCGAAGGCAACCTTGTGCCTATGATGTCTCAAGAAACCTACGTTCTTTGTCAACAAGGTCATTGTCCAGAAGGATCAACTTGCAGCAGTTTGACGGGACAGTCTGGGTCAAGAGTGT